ACTATTATTTTATTTTAAAAGATGTACGAGTAAGTATATACTTACTCGTACATCTTTTAAAATAAAATAATAATATAATATAATATAATATATATATATCATCCCTATGTAAAAATAGCTGTCATTTTAATTGTAAATATAATGTTACAGCTCTGTAACATCGTATCTACTCCTATTATTTATCATATTCAAATCAACAAATGCAGCTAGAGCAATCTTGTTTATCAATTATCTGTTTCAATGTATAAATAATGAGTTGCACTGCAGACGCATATATCCACTTCTAAAGGCTCATATAACAAATTGTTTCCATTACAGTAATCTTTTTGATGTATCGTATCGTAAGTTATTTTTTACTTATGTTAAAATTACATTTGAATTTTAGTACAATTATAATTATTAGTTACATTAAGTGTTTTCAATGTTCAGCTGTGCCATTACAGATGCACAGCTCCAACTGATATTTGTAACCTATCGGTATATATAGTTATCGAACAGTACGACTTGAAACAATATAAGATGCAGACGCGCAAGCGATCGCTTCTAAACAGTAAGGAAGTAATAAAAGCCTATCAGTAACGATAAATCGGTCACAGTATAGTTAAGTTTGTTAGGCAATTTCAAGTGTATACATTGGGAAATTAGAGCCCAGTGTCACTACATGTGCAGGTAAATCACGGTACTTGTCTCCCGATGTCAAACAGTAGTGCAGTGCAATACAACAAATGAAGAATGTAGGAAATCAGTTACACTACCTGTGCAGGTGAATTCAATGTACCAGTATCCCGAAGGAACCAAAGAGAGGGTCAAGTGGATATTAGCAAACAAAAAGTCAAGTGCAGTCACCTAGACAACAACAATAAATATGCCAACACACCAATATATGTCTTTACTGAAATTAAGCTAGGGCTTACGCAGAGTGAGATAAATAATTTGTATCTACACTCACGTGCAAAATAATCAATCCACACAAAATTTTCGATGAATTTCAATCGCAAATAACTTTTTTATTTGATGTCGGATTTAAACGAATATTAGAGAATATTGTAGATAAATTAATATAATCGCTCACATTTTAAAAAAATACTATAAAATAGACGTACGTTTATAATATACAGGTTTAAACAAAAAGATGATTTTTACCATAAGTTTAAGAAACTTTGTAAAGTGGCAAAACCGTATATTGTTCTAAATTAAGTTTTATTTATCAAGTCACATCTATTCTTAACAGTTTTGTTTTTAGTTCACCTCGATATATTTATTTTTGTTGAAAATATGGAATTTTTTAAAAAACATTGCAATTTCCAATATTTTTCTGTATGAAGAACTAAGGTTGCTATGGTCCATCCATAGGCTATGGAGAATGACAGTGACAGTTTTGTTACTATTCGCATAATTCGTTATAAACAAAAAAATATCTATTGATAAATATCGGTAGTCATATTGCCGACTACCAAAATGAAATGTTTGCTGAAAATTACTGTGCTGAAAATTCGGGCACTGCAATCCGCAATTGTTTGCCCCAATGTGCGAAACCATTTCATTTTGGTAGTCGGCAATATGACTACCGATATTTATCAATAGATATTTTTTTGTTTATAACGAATTATGCGAATAGTAACAAAACTGTCACTGTCATTCTCCATAGCCTATGGATGGACCATAGCAACCTTAGTTCTTCATACAGAAAAATATTATATATATATATATATATATATATATATATATATATATATATATATGTATAATATTTAAATGTACAATATTATGAATATTTTTGTATGGTAAAAAGTAATGTTCCTTTTCATTAGACAAATAAAATAATAATTAAAAAGTTTTTTAAGTTTTTTTTTTATTTTAATATTAAAACCAAAATTCACACATGGATTGTGATTAAAATTAAGTATTTTATAGTTATTTTAGTTTTACTTATTTTAGAACCAACTATCAGACCCTGATAAAAAGTGCATACATAATAAAATAATGATGTAGGCAATGACAAATCACCCTGTGTATTTATTGGGGCAGTCGGGCTGGCACCGGTTCCGCGTTTGATACGTCTATACCGCGTCGCCACCTCGTTGAAATCTGTCCGCTTTCGTCTCCTGGTAAACTGAACTTCTCTCTGGGAACGGGTTCCAGCCGCCAGCCACCGTCTATCGACATCGCCAAAGTAAACATCTTACATAGTAAGCGCATCCTGTTTTTAAATATAAAATATATATTTTCGTAATGAGTCATAATAAATATGAATACAGTGATTATTTATCAAATATACTTGTCGCAAATTTGGGTTAGTAAGAATGTATAATATCCAGTAACAATAAACTATTTATACACACATATACGTATTTTAAAATAATAGTAAAAAGTGATTATTTATATAAACTTATGCTTTTCTTGATTTCCAGATTTGATATTACTTAACCTACAGGGTAAATACCAAATACAAAAATAATTACTTGATTAGTACCAAACTTTGTAAGATTAATAAAAAACATTTAAAATTAAAAAAAATTAAAATAAAAAACAATTATAAGATCTTAGAATTTTGGATTATTATAAAAAATATATTTGAATGGTACCTAATAAAATTTTAAATATTTCAAATTAAAAACTTATGAAAATATTCGTGCAAAGATGTTCAACTTCTTTTAGAAACCTTTACAGGTTTTTATTTTAATATTTATATAATTTTGTAAAAGTTGTAGGTTTTTAAATTTGTTAATTACCAATTAAAAATAAAAATACTATTTTTTAAAGGCCTATCGCTATATTGCCTTAAAATCTAAAATAGTTGCATACTATACTTTTTCTACGACAAATATTATTGTAAAATAGTATATTATGTATCAAGTTTGATAAACGTCATTTTATACACGAATTTAATTTGCGAGCGAGTTCTTAAATTAATGAGTGTATAGAAAAGTTTATAAACGAGGTGCATACTATACTTTTTCTACGACAAATACTTATTATTATCTTAAAATGATTTAAATCAAAAATCTGTTTAGAGCGCCATCTATGAAACAATAGGGGAATCTGTGTGTCACCGCCAAATGTCAAATTTTTTTATTTTATAAACACAGATTATAAAGGTTATAAATCGAAATGTATTTCTTTAAAATTTACAGTTTTTGACAGTGAAAGTAAAAAAAATGTCCGTGTCCGAATTTAAGTTATAGTTTACTGCCGGCGAAATTAAAAGGTCAGTACAATGTTCATATAAACTTTTCAAATATTGGCGTTGAGAAACTATTTAATACTTTTGTATTTTTATATTGAGATAATAACATCATTTTCACATTTAGTATTATTTTACAAGTAAGGCAATTTATTTGACATTTGACAACTGTCCAACTAACTTAAAACTAACTTCAGCCCGTGACTAAAAACCTGTTGCTAACTTTAGCCCGTGATAATAATTTATCACTAATTTATTTAAATATCAGAAGTTTGTCAAATTGTTTGGTAAAAATCCAATTTTATCCCTTGAAAATGGACTAAGAACCGTTTAAATCGGATATGGAAGCCGTTTCTACAGTAAAATTAAAGAGAATGTTTTATAGATACTCCACCCAAAGATTGGCATCAAGAAGCTATTCAATAATTTTGTAATTTGCAATAAAGTCACAGCGTGGCAATGTAATAACTCATGAAAACATGTACGTTTTAAAGGTAGAAGTAGAAAAAAGAACTAATGTCATAGGACGTCATTTTCTCTTCTAAAAATATATAATTATTTTAATATTGGTATCATATTTTGGTGGGGAAATGTGAGGTTTTTCAAGAAAGTTATTAGTATGAAAAATGTTGCAAAGTGTTTACTATAAAATAACTAATTAAAGGTGAGTTATTTCAAATGAAAGTCTGGTTTCACTTTGAAGACAATACTTTATTTCCATTCAAATCAGCTCAGGTCAGACTGATACAATGTCCAACAGCTCTTTGAATATACATCAATTGGTTATATTGGTTATATACTTAAAATACGATTAACAATGTTAAGACTTAACCTAGAGTAAGCAGGAAAGTCCATATATTAAGTTTAATTTTATAAGCCTCAGCTAATAAAGTTGTCGTCTTAGGTACTTACATCAATTTCAACAATGAAGTGCTATGGTGTTGAATTAATGTTTTATCCACTTTGTGCAAGGTGTGCTCTTAACAATTTAGTCCAATATTTAAAGATTAACTTTAAAATGTGTTCTCCATTTTATTTATGTGAAGCCTCGTCTCCGGCATTGTCGAGATGGGAAAACGACTCGTAAATGTCCTATTATTTTAGACGATTTCCCACCGCGAAAACTTAGGTCAAGACCGGGCAACACAGCGTTTGTTTACTATGATTTTAGATAATAGTATTGTATTTTGGAAGGCCCTCGACCGATAAATATAATTCTATTACTAAAATCAAAAGGGCCTTGGTACTTAGTTGGTCAATTGATATGTTTTTATACGTTAAAAACAATTACGCTCATTCATACTTATTTAGTACTTAGCCTAAAGAGTGTCTTAACATCAAGAGGGTTACTACTATCTATGAATAATGTTAAAATGGTAAACATTAACGGCGTAGTCATTGTTCGAAGCCAGGTCGTCATCATTTTTGTCAAGACTATTCTCAAGATTTATAAAAATGGCGGTTATCCGCAATCCTCCGTGTACCCCGAAAAATAGAACCTTACGGTGGGTGGCCCAATGTCGATTATACAAGCATATAACCAGAATTTAAAACACCTCCAACGCCTTTATTTTTAAGAAGAGAGTGTAATAAAAACAATCGCGAACATGTTTTAAACGCAGCCCTTAGTAAGTTATACAATCGACATCAGGCGGGAACAAAAAATGGCGAAGACTTCCACTTTCCGGGCACTTTTTTGTCAATCTGCTTTTGAAGTCTGTTTAATCTGGATAGCCACATCTTTTATAAATTCCAAGAATAATTTCGGCAGTTAGGTGTTGACTTTTCTGTTTGTCAACATTTTAGCAGTCCGTATTTAATAGATTAGTACTTTGTTGCCCTTCTTGGCAGCCACTGGCAATTTTTCTCCTGTCAAAAAGGGATTTTCCCTTGCATTCTGAAACAAACACAAAATATATTTATTTGTTCAAAACTTAAAAGAAATACACGTTTTTTAAATTTTGAATTATATTGAAAACTTATGTTTTTAAATTTGTTTATAAAATAAAGATTATTCTAATACAAGCCTGTTTATAAATATTCTTCTATTTTTCAATAACCTTTTGTTAACATAACAACCTGTATAATATAGGTTGTTAACAAAAGGTTGTTGCTATTAAGGTTAAATGCCCTATTTTTAAAAACATGATTAATATTAATTTGTCAAAATTATTTTTGTTGAACAGAGAAGCGATTACACTACATGAAACCCTAATGTTTAAATTACATTTTATAAAGATTTAAGAACTTTAATCACCTGGTAAATTTTTTGCCAATTTAAATTTTGACAAAAAGCTTGACGTATCAGTTAAATAATTAATAATAAAAATTATGTTCCTTGAGTTATGAAAATGAAATAATTAAAAATTATAAAATCATGAAAGGATTATAAGATCTAATAAAAAATAAATATTTGATTAAAGTTGTTAAATTGGCGAATATAAAAAATAAAAATAAAATAATAGGTATAATTAAATTTTAAAACAGAAAAAATTTTAAACTCAAACTTGTCTAGAGCTGTTTTCAGAATTATTTTCAGAATTGTTTTATCACGTCAGGCTTTTACTCAAAATTTATATAATAGAACATTTAACGTTCTATTTATCAAGAAACTGTCAGTTAAATTTTATGAGTTTTAAACATAATATTATAATAAATATACTCAAAGATAATTATCTTTGAATATACTTACTTACTAATAGTAATTATTATTAGTAAGTATTCGAAAATTGAGTGATTAGCAATAGTAAAAACTTTTTTGATCATAAATTTTTTGTCAAAGAGGAAAGTCATGACACAATCTAAAAACAAATTTTGGAAAAAGAACTAGGTTTTTTAGATAAAAAAAATATATTTTAACATTTAAACAAAAAAACGCATTTTTTCTTCTGCGTTATAAAAAATTTAGTCTGATTAATGTAACAAAAGGTTAAATTAAACAAAAAAAAAATAATATATCTGGGTTTCTAAAGGACAATTGAATCGGTGAGATACAGAACAGTACAAGTCCAAAAGTTAAAATTTTTACAAATTATTTCATAAAATCAGTTTAAAAGTTTTAAATGCATTTTTGTAAGAATATTTTAATTATTTTATAAAATAAAGTTATTATATTTTCTAAAATAATTTGTATCTTCTCACAAAAATGCATTTTAAACTTTTTGATTTTAAATAATGATTTGTCAAAACAAAAAACGATTTAATTTAAGTGTTTACCTCTTCAAATCCATGATACTTTTTGGCTACCAAACTTTTATGTTCAAATGCTGGGTTTACCTAAAACAGTTAAACATAATTTTATTAAACATAGACCATAATAAGAAAATTATGTTACATAATTATTTGTATTTATTTTAATTAACCTTAAAATACATATTTTTATGAAATTTTACTTAGAAATTAATAAATTTAATAAAAACACACACGGCCCTGAACTAAACATATTTTTTTAAATTTTTAATCGTTTGTTATAATTTGTTACAAAAATATGTTGAAAAGTTAATGTCATAGATTAGTCCACTATATGTATAACAACAAAATATTGCAATATTGCATTTATAAATATTTTTTTAAGATCTAAGAAGACAACGTAGGTAATTTATAACTGTTTTGCAGAACTATTGAAATTAATCCCGGCGCATTCGCCATTTTTGAGATTTATTTTAGAGATTTAATTTTGCTGTATAAATGTTTTTTATGAATAAATTAAAATTATAACGAAATATTTGGGTTCAAAATTAAATGTTATGGAAACCACATTAATATAAATACAAGTCATGAATTTTATTCTGGTATTCTATAGATGGGGCTAGAATGTATAATTACCCATAGTTATTAGCTGCAAATTAAAACATTTTTATAAATCTCCCAAGCATTTTTATCTAAATTAAAATCAACTAAATTAAGAAAGAATTGTACCGTGAGGGAGTGCTGGATAAATCTGTTAAATTCCATGTTGTCCAGTTGATCCAATGAATCGTCCATAATAGGTGTATTATTGGGGCAATCGAACATGTGCTCTGTATCACACATACAGTCTTGGGACGACTGATAGCGACGACTGTAAGAAGCGGTGTTCTCAAAGTCCTCGAGGCAACCATTTTCTCCTAAAATTACAATAAAAATAAATATGTATACATAACATATTGTATATTTGAAAGTAATAAAAACTTAATTAAATATTTCTGTTTTAGTTATATTTAATGTCATAAAAGAAAAAAAAACAGTTAATTTAAAACAAGAAAGATTTTTAGATTAGTAAATGCTTAGACCAATAGGGAGAAATATTAAAAGAAGAAAAAAAGTTGGTTTTCAAAATAAACTCCCCAAATAAGCTCTTTAAGGTTAAGAGTAATATAAATATTTCTGTAACCAAATTAATAAATTTAAGTTTTATAATTTTGATTTCTGGCACCCAACCCAACAAAAATGTTGAAGTAGATTAATACAGTATGCGTATAACATTAAACGGCCATAACCTTTAAAGGTCAGATACATTTTCAATACCAATTTATGATGATCTAAAATTGTTGCAAAATATTATTGTTTCATAAACTGGTAAAAAAATCAGATTTTTTAACATATGGTTGTAGTTTGTTAATTTTATTTTCTAAAATTTTAACAAATATTTTTGTAGAAAACCAAAATTTGTGATTGGGTTCGATCCTTTCGCCAAACCATTGTTAAACATATAAATTATACGTATATTGGTTTTCTTTATTAAAAATTTATCAAAATATGCCATGAAAATATAAATGGTATGTAGTTTTTTAAAAGTGTTTTTTAAACGAAAATTAAAATTTATGATATCAAATATAAAGAAATTCACGTAAAAACTTAAAAATTGTTGTTTGTCAATTGACTAATATTAAAGAAAGAAATTAACTAAAACAAATATAATTTAAAAAAAATTAACCCATTTTGTTCCAAATGTAAAAATATTTTATATAAAAAAACATGCAATGGGTGTAAATATAGAGTCAGAATTATTGTACATTTAAATATTTTCTAAATATTTAATTAATTAATATCACAGGAGATTTATTGAAAACTTGTTTAAGAAATATTCTGGAATATTATGTTCTAATTTATTGAACTCGAGTGGTATTTGAACGATTTATTATAGAATTTATTTAGGTCATATTATTTTTCCGAAAATATTGTACAGTAGGTTATTCCCACTATAAAAATGTTTTGATTGATTAAAACGTACACACGACTGTATTTAATTGGTTTTTAGAAACAAAATCAATCGCCAAAATATTTAATAATAAATATTGAATTATTTAATTTAATTTAATTATTGTAAAAAGTAAGTAAGGTAAACTTCTACAAAATGGCCTAAACCTAAAGTTATAAAAACATATTAGAACATTAAATTTTAAAGTTGTTTTTCCTTGGAATTAAAAAAAAACAAACATTGCCTTCCCAATATTATGTGGTACATTTTGTTAATAGTAAAAAGTAATAAAAAGTAATCAGTGAAATAAAAAAATCCGAAGCAAATTTCAAGCAAATGAGTTAATTGCGTTATATTTTTTCCACTTTTCCACTTTTTCACGGGCTAATGAAAATTAAACTTTATTTTTAAAGTTGGGAAAACGTATTTAAAAAGTAGGTATATAATCTGTTTTTTATTCAGATGCACACAGACAGGTCGAGCTTTTATAAAAAGTACAAAATACAATATAATATGCAATATGATATTTTTTTTAATTTCGATTAATCTAAATAAAAGTCCAAAACACATTTTATTTTTATAAAAATAAAAAGTTAAAGATCTCAATTTCTTAAGGAATTTTGAAGTTATTTTTAATAATAGCTATAAAAATATATACATAATACTATTATAAAAATAAAAACCATTTTAATTTTTGTTAATTAAAATTAAAAGACTTTAATCAAATTAATCCCGGCGCATTCGCCATTTTTGCAACTAATTTTTGCTGTGAATAAGAAAAACGAACATTACAACGAACAAAACGGTTAATTAAAGTTAAAACTTATTAAGTTACCTGTGTATCCCACAGGGCAGGGGTTTGGTGGATTGCAGTAGGCCGGAAGAGTGTCAGTTTTAACTTCATGGCGATTTTTAGCCACGTCTGACGGGATGAAATCATTTCCGGAACCAAATTTGTTGCCCCAGAGGGAGCTATGTTGCAGCATTTCCTGATGAAAACAAAATGAAATTTATAAACACGCGTTTAATTTTGATCAACACCAGCAAATAAAACGGTTTTAAGCATAGGTATATTTTACTTTATTATTTTAAAATTGAATTTTGTTAAGTTCAAAGGTTATTAAATTTATCTTGAAAATAAATGTTTCTTTATAGAAAAAAATATATTTAACTTTTATTTCTTAAACGAAATCAGATTATACAAATGATGTTAGCTTTTCTTGTTTTATGTAGTAAATAATGGCAATTTTAACTCAATTATTTAAATTCTCTTGCGCTTTTCAGAAACGCTGGAAATACAAATAACATTTTTATTTATAATTGCATTAAAAAAATCTGTTTGTTAATTGAGAAAATAAATAAACTGAAGTCCGAATAATAAAACTACCATTAACAAAATAAATCAATAGTAATAAAAGGAAAAAATAATATACAGATCGTAATTAAAAACATAAAATAGACCTAGTAATTAAAAACATAAAATATATAAAATTTAATTTAGGTAATTTAACACATTTGTATCGGTAAAATTTGGACAAAAGTCTCTATATATATTTAATATATTTTTGTGTTTAACTGACTTCAGTTTACCACCAGACTCGCACATATATACCCATAAAATTATGACAAATTTAACAATGAAAAATGACAGTAGTCTTATTTTTTACTCAAGGTTTATGTGAAAATAGTGTGTGCCTCAATTTGTAAGTTTTGATAAAAATAAACTTCTCATTAAAAATAAATTAGTCAAAAATGACTAATTTTCATATGGAAAAAGCAGCCACTAATAATTAAAAAAAAAATTAAAAATGATAAAAGTAACAGTTTTTGAGATATGGTAAATTTCCATATAAAATGTTATTGAGTTTTTCTCAAAAACTGATCTACTTTAATAATTGTTGACTCTTGGATTCAGGGAATAATTTTACATAAGAATTGGCTAATAAATTTTCGGGATACAAATTGCTATGGACTACACTTATAAGTGACTACTTTTTCACTTTGAAAGTTAATAATTTTTGACTAATTAATTTTTAGAGAGTTGTTTTTTGTTTGAATTTTATATGGTATTAAAAAAAATGTCAACTTAAAATTTATATATAAAGCTATTTCCGTTGAATAAATATATTATATTTTTGTAATTATTGTATAATTTATGAAAAGAATATTAAAAAATAACTAAAATTGTCAAAAACTTAACAAACTTAAAACATAACAATACATATGTATAATAAAACATAAAACCTGATCTCTAATGCTCGGGTGCATTGCGATGTCTCCAAGGCTCTCGTAATCCAGGGGGAAAATCCTTTCCCCCTCCAAACCCCCCGTCAAGGACCTTTCGTCCAAGGACAGCCCATCGGTAAGGTCCAAATAGGACATATCATTCATTTTATTGGAATTCAAACGATTCACTAAATCACGCAGGAAAATCCCTGATAGCAGGGACTCCTTAAACATAAAAGTCATGTAACAGGGATAAATTATTTTTTGTGTCTTGTACCTTTCCAGCAGGGGCATAACAGAATGCCCCTGTCACAAGCCACATTATAACAGCGAGCTTCATCTTGATGCGAATAGACCTAAAAATAGAAACTACTAAATCTGTTACTGGGGAATTTTCACTAAAATGTCTACATTTACTTCTGAAATAAGCTAAAATAATATCAAAATAAAGCCGCTCGAATATGTTGCTACTCGTGAATAGAGTTATCTGAACTAAAAGCTAGAATTGCCTGCATACACCATTATATGTTTGGATATACCTTTGGGGAGTTTATATTTTCTTGTTTTCATTTATTGTTAATTAAAATATGCTTTTGTTTATTTTTAAACAAAATATAATAAAGGAAAAACATGTTTTATATGTTTAATTTTTCATACCGGTAAAATGTTTTTTTATTTGCTACTAACGATAAACATTTTATGGATTTTTAAAAAAAATAGTGATATTTGTTTATTTAGTACAAATAATGGCGTCCTAAAATACGATAAAAGTTTTATTAAAAATGCGCTTGACTGGTTTACTTTTCATATTTTTACAAACAAAATTTATTAGGGCAATAAAATATATTAGATATGGTAAAATCAATAGATTAAATGTTAGATTTGTGAATGATGATTTTATCTAACACTATTAAAAATATATAGGTATATGTAAAACTCCCTTATAAGACCCATCGTGCAAAGTGGTTAACTTGTTTTAATATTTATAATAAATTTTCATAAATTATTTTTAATTTATTTAGCATTAAAAATATAATTCAATGTATACTTTAAAATATTTTGACATTCCATAATTAAACCTTTTGTAAAAGGTATAAAATGTGTCCATATTATTTTGGTAAACAGGGTAAATTTTAGACCGTCAGGATTTAATTGAACAATAAACATAAATTACCAAAACGTGTATTTGTCAGATTAATATAAACTAAATTTGTGTATTGGAGATTTCAGTTTAAGTATTCCCACATAAAAAATTTACCAACTTGGATTTTGATTAAACCTGGTAAAACGAATAAGCTGAATATAAAGACAATTTGTTTAAAATTTGATTGAATTTAGGGTTTAAGGCAACATTTTTTTAAATTTAATAAACATATTCTTGACTATACCGATTTTTAATGCTTTTGGAGAACGTTTCTTTACTAAACTCTATAGTGTTTCCACGGATTGGGTAGCTAATAGGAAAAACTTTTTTATTATCCATTTTACGATCAAAAAACATTATTTATAAAAATTCTTGCTTGTTTAATAGTATGTTATGTATCAAGTTTGATAAACGCCATTTTATACACGAATTTAGTGTATAGAAAAGTTTATAAACGAGATGCATACCATACTTTTTCTACGACAAATGCTTATTATTATCTTAAAATGATTTAAATCAAACATTTGTATAGAGCGCCATCTATGAAACAATAGGGGAATCTGTGTGTCACCGTCAAATGTCAAATTTTTGTATTTTATAAAAACAGATTATAAAGGTTATAAACCGAAATGTATTTCTTGAAAAATGACAGTTTTTCACACTGAAAGTAAAGAACTTTACAGTGGAGTCCGTGCCCGGATTTAAGTTATAGTTCACTGCCAGCGAAATTAAAAGGTCAGTACAATGTTCATATAAACTTTTCAAATATTGCCGTTGAGAAACTATTTAATACTTTTGTATTTTTGTATTGAGATAATAAAATAGTTTTCACATTTAGTATTATTTTACAAGAAAGGCACTTTATTTTAACGATTGTATGACATTTGACAACTGTCAACTAACTTAAAACTAACTTCAGCCCGTGACTAAAAACATGTTGCTAACTTCAGCCCGTGACTAAAGCGCCATAAAGCCACAACTTACATTTTATATAAGAATTTTATTTTTAAACAATCAGGAGTTTTTATAAAAAATGTATTTCTCTGTCAAAGCATTTATTTTATATTTTTCAAGTTGCCTTACAAGTACCTTCTTTAAACTGTTATATATACTATTTACTTGGAATTTTCAGTAATAATAATTCCTTGTAAATTATTTAGAATTCAAATATGCAATGATGAATTATTAATTCTAGAAACTTAAATTAACAGTTAAAATTAGTTAGAATTTCGTTGTTATCTGGTCTAATTAAATAATATTAAAAGGATGCTTTAAATGCCATATTTGTTATAAAAATGTATATAAAGTGTGGTTGTTTTTGTACTTAAAATAAAAGGTTATGATCTTAACTGGATTAATAAAATACTAGAAAATTCAATAAACAATTTTTTAAAGCTGTTTTGTAGTTATTATTGCGCATTTGTCTACTTAAAATTTTTCAATACAATTAAGTAAAGGGTCGTTTTGAGGGGTGGTGAATCCACTGACATAGTAGGCCTTGTATTATGTAAAAATATGGCGATTTTTGCTCCAAAAATACAGTTTATTAAGATCTACACTCTAAAACAAATCCGGTTGAAATCGCACAATAAATAAAGATTTTACAGGGGTGAGTCGCAAACAAATGGGTCACACTGTATGTATAGTGTTTGTGATTTTAAGCTTAAAGCGTTTTATTACTGCGTGGGATACTTTCATTAAATTTTAAATACCAAGACATTTAGTTTTTAACACACTGTGTTTCTAAAAACTGAGTATTTGTCTGTAAAATTTGATGTTTATTAAAGTAAATAAAACAGAGCAAACAAGAAGCTTTCTGTTAGGCTTAATTAATAAAAAAAAATATCAAACATCAAAATGCACACCTAATTATTAGTGTCATTCAATGTTAGGCCTTGGCATTGGAAGCGTTATTTTTAGATAATTAATTTGCTCTACCAAAATAGACCGCAAATAATCGATTTTCAATAATAATTTTGGGTTTTGTCTAATTCAGAGTGGCAACAATTTAATAAATTTTCGCGTCAGGCAAATTTACACCTCAGCATGCTAAAGTTAAGTATGAAGTATAATGTATAGATCCCTAAATGAGTATACCTATACATATAAACATGCTATACATAATGAATAAATAATAAGTTTGTTTTACATATTAGTGTATTTATTGGGAGGTATATTTTATTTTGTTAAAAAAAAATTTAATGTTTTATTATTATATTTGTAAACGGTTGTACTAATTATAATAGTAGTCATAATATAAATATTTTTTTATTCACGCTATACCACGCTATGGGAAAAATTATTTTAAATATAAAAACAATTAAAAAATAAAAGGTTTTTTAAATTAATTTATTAGAAATTTCCAATTTCTAAAGTTTTGAAGTTTAATATTTTCTAAGGTTAAATTAAAATACTCTGTATAATTACGTTAAGTTATTTTTATACTATAAATTTATTTCAATCGTTTTTCATTTCTTAATGTCAACGGATATTGCTAAATTAGAAAACTTTATTTAAGTTTGAATAGAACTCCCTCCTGATGTAAATTAAATTTTCTATATCTACTCCCATATTTACAAGCTGTCTTTATGGCGTTTTAGTCACGGGCTTAAGTCTCTTTTTAGCATTTTAGTTTATATAAATTGTGAAAATGTGAGATTAAACTCGTCAGATGTCAACTATTTTACAATTAAAATTGGCTTTAAATCCTTCTTTGTATTCGTCGTAGATAAAGTATAGTATGCAACTCGTTTAATGAACTTCTTTAGACACTTTTTTTATTAAACACTTGCTCGAAATTTTCGCTGGTGCCTAATAAAACTAAAATGGCGTTTATAAAACTTGATACATAAAATAAGTAATATTTTGTTACAGAGTTTTATAATAATCATAATCATACATAATAATGTCAATCAAACTAATATCATGGAGCCTACATGTAGAATCCATTACAAATAATATTTAGGGGTGACGTTCATAATATCGAAATTCACTTTATCGAATTCAAAATATCGAACACTTTTTATCGAAAATCAAAATATCGAAAATACAAAATGTCGAAAATCAAAATATCGAAAATTAAAATGTCGAAAATGATAATATCGAAATTTTATTTAATCGAATTTTCAATTTATCGAAAATAAAATATCGACGTTCATAATATCGAAATTCACTTTATCGAATTCAAAATATCGAACACTTTTTATCGAAAATCAAAATATCGAAAATACAAAATGTCGAAAATTAAAATGTCGAAAATACAAAATGTCGAAATATTTTCTTATTTTGAATTTGATATTTTGTTTAAATATTTCAATTAATCGACATATTATTTTAATCCGAAGTGTATATGTACAGAGGCGCCTCTGATATAGAAATGTACTCAAACTCAACAACACAACCCAACCGACCCCGCCCCAACTAAAATGGGCTAATTTATGTAATTAAAAAGTGTTTTATTTTTATCGTAACATGAATTTGCCCATTTTAGTTGGGTTTTTTGCTCAATGGGGCGGGGGGGGGGCCAATGGGGCGGGGTCGGTTGGGTTGTGTTGTTGAGTTTGAGTACATTTCTATAAAACGCGCATCTCTAGGAGCCAGGGAGCCAAGATAATTCGGTGCATAACCGTAACTTTATCTACAGAGGCGCCTCTGTACATATACACTTCGATTTTAATCATACATTTTAATTTTCGATATTTTTAAATCGATATTTTAATTTTCGAAATTTTAATTATTCGACATTTTCAAATCGACATTTTAATTTTCGATATTATCATTTTCGACATTTTAATTTTCGAAATTTTAATTATTCGACATTTTCAAATCGACATTTTAATTTTCGATATTATCATTTTCGACATTTTAATTTTCGATATTTTGATTTTCGACATTTTGTATTTTCGATATTTTGATTTTCGATAAAAAGTGTTCGATATTTTGAATTCGATATAATGAATTTCGATATTGTGAACGTCACCCAATATTTAGTTCTAAGAAATTATATGGTTAGGTTAAGTATTGTTATTGTTGTTAAACAAATATTACTGAAATGCAGCATATTTATTTATTAATCCCGGCGCATTCGCCATTTCTGTAAAGACTAATTTAAAAAAAATTGAACTTAATAAATATTTAAAATGGTACAAAATATTATATTAGTTATATGATGGATAGTTTGTAAATTTAAATGCGGAAATCAGCCTTAACTTAGTAACTTAAAGTGTAGATCTGGATAAACTGTATTTTTGGAACAAAAAACGCCATATTTATACAAAATACAAGGCCCATATGTCAGTTTTTAAGAATTCATATTATTAGCGATTTTTTTTAAATAAAATTCATGCACGGCACTGGATTCACCACCCCTATAATAAATTATGTTGGAAAATTTTAATATTAGTTTAATTTTATTTCAATGTTTTTACATGGATAACTTGACAAAATAAATTTTTGTAGTTATTATTGTGCATTTTTACTCTAAAAATACAGTTTATCAAGATCTAAACTTTAAAACAAATCCGGTTAAAATCGCACAATAAATAAAGATTTTACAGGGGTGAGTCGCAAACAAATGGGTCCCACTGTATATCATTATATAAACGGTTGTCCATTTCCAAGGGATAAACTCGATTTACACCTAAGATTTACACATACAAATTTGACATTTTGACGCCGGTAATACAGATTTCCAAGTTTAAAAATTCTTACGCGAGTTACTCTATTTTATATATATATTTATAATAAAAGAAGAATATTTTTGACAATTTTGATTCCAAAATATTATAAAATAAATATTCTACAATTTTTTTTATAAGCAGTTTTGTAATTCGTGCGTTTCGCGCACTTGAAATGGCCGATTTATCAAAAAATTTGTTTTTAAAATCTTTTAAAAAACTGTTTGGGCGGCTAGTTAAAATACTACATGCAATCATGTGAAGTTGTTTTTATAGTACAAACTTAAAATAATCGATGGGCATTTTGGATTGTTTAAAGAATAATTTATAAATAAATATAAAAATATAAAAAATCTATTAGGTACACATCTATTGTACCTACATAAGTATTTATTTTAAAGTCGATTTGTAGATTTCATTCATAATGCGCAAAAATAGGTTAAACCTCAATGAACCACCTGTTAAGACATTACATTTCTATTTATATAACTAATTTTAAACCCAAAAAAAATCACTAATAGCATTTTAAATACGCCACTTTTAAATATCCAATAAAACCAGAATGTCAAAAGGGTAAACGAAAATTTTTCTCAAAAAAATTTGCCAATGACGTGTCCGTTTTTAATTTCGAAATTTATTGCGAGCACATGCAAACAAAAAATCCATATGTCGAGCCGAAATCACTCGAAAATAAATTCGTCAACACCCGCATCAACAATAGAAGCTTTATTTCGGCACAAAACAACCACAAAACATTTAAATGGTACTCACCCAAATGGGTCTTTCAACACAAGTGAGACAAGATCGCCTCTATGGAATCAATGGATGTACGGCGCAAGAATTGACGTCGCGACGCCCGATGCCCTCTCGGCAAACCTCGGAAAATCGATTAATGTTTTATGAAATTATGCTGCATCAAACTCAAACAATTCAACAAGTACCTAATTAACAAAATTAAACGAATTACTTATGTTTTTTACTTAATTTACTATATTTTTTATATTTATACCATAATTTATTACCTATATGTATCCATAATTAGTATTTTATTTTTAATAAAAACAGCATAAACAATATATTGGTGTAATCCGGGTTGTCTACATTACATATAATGTCTAAAAATTCTAAATTACCTACCGTCTATTTAAATATAAATTCTGACGTTCCTTGTTTCACCTTAAATATTCGCTTAAAAAATCCAAATTACAGTCATTATTTCACAATATTTCCAATTATTATTCAAATTCCGCGCTAAAATTTAATTCCAAACGACGCCATTCGCTAACAGTTTCCCGCCATTGTTTATCCCGGCCACCGCAATTTGACAGTTTGTTGTGAATTTTTCCGAGTTTTAGCAAAATGTCCGAGAATAATGAAGTTGAAAATGAACAAGAGCAAAATATGGATGACTCCGACGTTGTAACGTTAACTTTGAACGATGTTTTGGAGCTTGAAGAGGAGATATTCCAAGAATCTGCTGCTATATTGGGTGCATCCAGTGATAAAGTTTGTTCATACCCTGATGTAAGTTACCTTACTATTAAAAGTAGTAAATATATGATAATTTTTTTTATATTTTAGGGCTACATTAAACGTCAGGCTTTATACTCTTGCCTTACATGCATTCCGGAGTCAAAAACCGACATGGAGAAATCGGCAGGTGTCTGTTTAGCTTGTACTTACCATTGCCATGAGGGACATGACTTGGTGGAATTGTACACCAAAAGAAACTTCAGATGTGATTGTGGCAACTCGAAGTTCCCCAATGGCAAATGTAACTTGTACGAGGATAAAAATGAGATCAACGATATGAATTTATACAATCAGAACTTCACTGGGGTTTATTGTACTTGCCATAAGCCCTATCCAGATCCTGAGGATACTATTTCTGATGAAATGATTCAATGTGTGGTTTGTGAAGACTGGTTTCATACAAGACATTTAGGAGTTGAAATGCCCAAGGATAATTTTTCTGAAATGATTTGCGAATCGTGCATCAAAGATCACGAATTTTTGTTGCATTATGAAGAATTTGTATGCGATACTGAAAAAGATACTAAAACCGATGAAACTAAAGATGTTGAAGTTGAGAAAGTTCCTGAAACTGCTGAAAAAGAATCAGAAGAAACTCCATACCCAGGCTGTAAAAAACCAAAAACAAAATCAGACAAACTTACAACTAAATTCTGGAAGGACATAAACTGGCGCAAAGAGCTTTGCACATGCGATGATTGCCTTAAAATGTATGAAGACGAAGAAATAACGTTTCTCCTTGATAATGAAGACCCTGTGCACTTGTATGAAGAAAGGGGCAAAGCAAAGGCAAAGGAAGTCGAAGCTGAAAGCGATAAAACACTAAATTCCTTACCCAGAGTAGCTGTTATGGAATGCATTGCTGGCTACAAGGATCTAAAGGACAATTTGGCGGCATATTTGAAAAAGTTTGCCGAAAACAAAACTGTGGTACGAGAGGAAGATATTAAGGAGTTCTTTGAGGGTATGAAGGCCAATAAGAAGGCCAGAACTGAAAGTTATTCTTGTCGTTAAAAAAAAATGGTTAACATTATTTTAAGTATACATATTTACCTTAAAGGTGTTTTCGTTTTTTTAGAATGTATTTATTATTTGAATCTCTTGAATATATAATTATTCAATTAGTTATTTTTTTAACTAAATATTTTTTCGTTATGACGCTTTTTTAGATTTCAGTATTTCCCCCTTATAATATAATATATGTTTTAGAAAATATTATAAATATAAGACAAAATCTTATTTATAGCTATGGTATATTTTTTGCTTATAAATTTGGTAATAATAAAAAGGGTACATCCAAGCACTTCTTTCCATTTCCAAAATATACAAACCCATACCTATTGGTCTGAATATAATGAAAAAAAATCATTCCAGGCCAATACATTGGTTTAATAAGTACTATGGTATTCCCGGCGACCAAATGGTGCATAAAGCATCCCTCAGGAATATCCATATCAGCTGGATCCAAAAAATCCAAAGCATAATTATAATCATCCCTTGTTAGAAGGTTGGTATTCCATTTTTGAGTTGGATTTCTGTAGTGCAAGAAGGTTTTTATTTCTCTGGATTCCAACTCTGATAAACCTTCAAAAGTTCTGTTTTCGATTGTTACCCCATCAGGTCTTTTAAATAATGCACCTCGAGGTACCAAAACTGCTTCTTGATTCAAATAGTATATGGTAGCAGATAAACGATCTTCCTCCTTTAATTTACGTACTTTATGCTCTTTTACCACTTTTCCCAAAGCAATTTCACCTTTTTCTATTAGAATATCAATCACCAAAGCTGGATCACCTTGAAACATTGTCGTACACAATGGAGTTAACAACTTGGCCTCGTCTTTTGGTAAAGGAAGCAACCCCCAATTGATACAATCCCTGCTATAGTAATATATCCTTCCCAACAAGGCATCATTGACATAACCATAAGCCACAAAATAATCTTTATCGGATCCAAAAATTTTGCCCCAGAAATAAATTTTGCGAAAATGGTTCTCATTTTGAAGAATCAACAGAGAATTGTACAAAACTATGCTTTCTTCTGTGGTTATTGCTCTTCCGGACTGCCCGGAAGATTCTAATGTGTTCAGGATTATTTCCAAATTCATGTTTTGACAATGTTTTTGACGTTTTCAATAATCAAATAGGTAAATAAGGTTTATTTATTATTTACACTATATTTTGCATGAAGAATTAAAAAGTGTCTTTACCAACTTTAATGAAATTTTATGTTGCTTAAAATAGACAATAAAACAAATTTTTTGTAGACAACCAAAGTTGCCTTTTTACTTGAACAACATTCCTTAATTTTAGAAACGAAGCAAGATTGCGAACAAAATATAATATATTAATATCTAAAGTAACCATATATTCAGTTTAAACCGTCAGTATTGAATTTTTATTAGGGTAATTTGAATTTGGCGCGCATTCTATACGGTCCCTAAATTGTCAAATAATTACAGAGGGCAGCACATTCGCTGCGTGAGCGTGACATACTGCAAAGAGTCGAGCGCAACGTAGGTGAATGTTGTGAAATATTTGTATTTATCCGTTTTAGTTTAATCGAAAAAACTGTTTAGTTAATTATATTAAGTTTACCAGCAACCACAAACATGGATATGTGAGCAGGAGGTAAAAAGGTGAGGGCAAAAAGTTGCGTTTGTACAATGTCGGACTCGTTCAACAAATTGCAGTTATTTACGTAAAAAAGTGTGCTCAAAATCTTTGTCAGTGTGTATGTCATTCTTTGTTAATGTAAATCATCATCGGGAAATTCTGTGTGTGTTTTCGTGTTCTTATTAAATGTTTTCACGGAGATAATTGTGGGTGTAAAATACACCGTTACTATCGATTTACACAAGAACTAAATATGTTGTTAAACATATTAATTGAGATTTTCATCAATTTTTTTTCTCAATTGTAGGAATTCAAGCTCAAAATCTACGAGCATCGTGGAATTTTGCGTAGCCAGAGACAAAGGTAAGTTTATTTTGACCTTTTAACTTGTGTATTTATATTTATAACCCCAAAATATTACGACCTTTATTCGAGTTTATTCCGATTTATTCTAGAAAACACGTGATAAGGGTTTATATTTTTACTAAATATCGTAAATTCTAAAAGATAAAACAGTGACATTTTGGAACAGCTGATGCCTTTAATCCAATTATCGTAAAAACCGTTTCCTATGTTACTAAACAAAGTAAAATTTTTAGTTCCTATTTTGCTTAACCCAAACGTCACTTTATTGTCAGTTTCATGTGCTTTCTTTGTAAGAATCACTATAGTTGGTGTTCTTTAACAATAAGTAAGTAAAAATTTTATATTTTTGCAAAGTAAATTGAGGAAACGTAATTTCGGTGGCCAATGACCTTAACCAAAAATACCTGTGTTTCAACTTAAAATTTAAGTGCGAAACAACTATTTTATTGTGTTGTAGGTCGTACCTACTTATTTTTAATAATCTAGGTATGACCTTGTCGAGTTATAAATGTTTTGTTTTTACTTGTATTTTTCCGGGATTTAAGGTGAATTTATGCTCACTAAAAATAAGAAATAAGAAATAAAAATAAAAAATAAGAAATAGGAAATAAGAAATAGTTTCATTTGTTGTCATTTATGTCGGAAAAATAATAAAAATAAGAAATAAGAAAAATATGCAAAAGTGAGGTTAAAATTGATTGTTTGACAGTTCCCAAAGCGTTCGTTTCTGGTTTCTTTGGTTGGTTTGTTCTGTGGTAATCTTTTAAAAATGAGAATTAGAATTAAAAAAATGTTATTGCTTACAACAGCATTTTTACTGTTGCAAAAAAGAATTGTTCGTAAGAAACGGGCTGCGAGGCGGTACAGCATTCGACCGCTAAATCGTAATCGCAGGGTTACGGGAAATTTTTAAAGTAATTAAACAACACAACAATTAAGAATTAACTATTAAAAAAACACAAAAACAATCCAAAAACACTAATTATTGTACAAACAGTAATTAAACAACACAACAATTATGAATTAACTATTACACAAAAGTATTTGCGAATTTCCCGGGCGAAACAAAAACCTGTCAGCTGATGACGAAAATAAATCCTTTGCGCACAAAAATACGCAGAATAAGAATCTTAAGTTGAAAATTGCCAACTTTTATTTTTATTTCTTATTTTTTATTTCTTATTTTCGTGAGCATAAAGTGATGTTAGCAATTATAAACCTTTAACTTTTATTTTTATTTCTTATTTTTTATTTCTTATTTCTTATTTTAAGTGAGCATAAATTCACCTTTAATATAAATTAAACCTAAATGCGGCGAAATGTACCTGCGCAATAATTATATTTGCAGGTACATAGTTCTTAAAATCATGCTAATTAATAAACCCTATTATTTGTCCTGGTTTGAAAAAAAACTACCGGTATACAGCTTACTCAGTGTGCCCATTATTATTTTTTCACAACGTATTGTTTGTAAATCTCATGGGAATAGTCGACAACTAGAGAATTTATAAATAGATCCATAAATTTTCTTGTAAAAATAGATTAGACATTAATATTTAGCGGTGGATTCGGATATTGCACACAAATTACTCTTTAAGGAGTTTAATAAATTGATTATAGTTTTAAAAAATCGGCAAAAATGCTTTTTGATTAAAACTTTTACTCCCAGTTTCTCAATTGTATGTTATACGAGGGTGGATCAATAAGTACTCGTGTTTAAAGACAGATGGCGTTGCTAAGGGAATTTGGCATTACCATCTACGATTATTTTGTTACATAAACTTTTTTTTAACTAAAATGACCATCTTTAAGTATTCCATATTAAAAACAACATCTTTTATAGGTACTACTTCTACTGCACAAAAACAAATATTTAATAAAAAGTAATATTTATTCAAGGATTCAGATCTAGAATTGATATGGTAATATAAAAATATTCGGCTTGCTTAGGTATACAAAGAGATATAGATGTATGTATATCTGTAAAAATGCACAATAAATTTTACTAAATATTTTATTAAGAAATAAAATAGCTAAATACATTAATTTAAATAATCCAGTATAATAACTCTTTAAAGCCTTTTAACTGGAAAATTAGATTAAAAGTAAATATCAATAGGTATTATAAATATCGATTTTTAATTAAATATAATTTATTCTGAAAAATGAAAATACTAAATAATTATTATTTCTATTTACTGCTTGTAATTTTCAAACAATGTTTATTACCTAGTATTAAAAATTAATATTAATATATTATTCATAATTAATTAATTTAATAGGTACTAATAAAGTTTGAAGACAACAAAATAAAAAAAGAGTTAATAAAAATAAAGTTTTTTCAAGAATAGCCAAATAAAGAACAATACAAAAAATCCTTGTAAAAAAATTGATCTCCTTAAGAAAAACACAATTTTCATTAAACGTTTCGATAAAAGAAAGAAGTGTATAAAATGTTCGCTAAGAGAAAAGACTTTTAGGGCGCCATAAAAAGTCGTGTGGAAATTGGAAAACAATGTTTGCGATCGAGCGTGTTTATCCATTTAAAAGAGCGCCCAGGCTTAATTTAAAATTTAATTTAACCCCGATAATGTAAACAGGACGTCTGGCCGACGCTTTCGCCATACGTGGAAAGCAATAAAAAACGGAATAAAAGCGTTTAGAATAAGTAAAAAAAATATATAAATAAAGTTTTTCAACACGATTGGTCTAAATCATTTTTAAGTGCCTAGGCCATAGACCGATTGGATATAATAGTATATTGTAGAAATGTACATACAGGCGAGCTTTATTGAGCCTTGACACTTTTTGAAGCCTGAAAAAAGCACTTTACCGCCAAGGTTTACACGATATTTTTCTACCCACAATTATGTCATCTACAATTTGCTAATATGGCAACGGATGTAAAAGTCCCTTGCTATAGATTTAATGGTACCTATTAATATTTATTCAACATTTCATTTCCTAACTTTAACCGATGAGTGAAATTTTACTTCACCCACGGGCTGAAGTTAGCTGTTAGTTAAAATTGGAAAAAAGTGAGGTTAAAGTTGCTTGACAGCTGTCAGATTTTAGATTAAATATCAAATAAAATTGGCTTTAAATTTATTGCGGTTTGTTGAATAATTTTATTTAGATTTATCAAGCTTTTTCAACAGGTTTACGTGAAATGACCCATTATATAAGTGACTTTTTTACGATTTTTTTTTAAATATGGGTAATTCCGATACCAATTAAAATTGACGGAATTAAATAAACTAAAAATATATCATTTCAAATAACTTAAAATAATATTAACGTTAAAAGGTCGTTGCATAACTTCACAGCAATGTTTCATTCAACATTTTATTTTATAATTTGATTAATTTTTAGTTTCAAAAATATACAGGGATTCCATATTAAATAAATAATTTTTTTATGTTTTTAATATTGTTTTTAAAAGAAATCAAAAAGCAGTTTGGAATTACCCATTTGTATTACTTTAATTAAACTTAAATAATTTTTCTGTAATTACCAATATCTTTATGCATACATTTTTTGTATCAAGTCCACAGGATACGTTTTAATTGATATTTATTAAGTCATCAACTTTAGTCCTTTAAAAATTCCGGAAACAAGATTATTTTTTCCAACTAAATTTATTTCTTTACATCATTCATTCAGCTTAATTGCAAAATTAATTGGGAGTTTTGTACAAAGAATGTAACCTTTATTAAATTTTAATTCTCAAAAAATCATTGACCGGAAAGAAGAAATAACCGCTAAAACAAAAATTAAGGAATATTTGAGTGACTCGATCGGAATTTTTATTAATATATCAACAATTCCTTAATGATCGTTAGGTAAACAAATTTAAATAAACATGTAATATTTAAATAATAATTATCTTGGCACATTTATACATAACCCTCGTTGTATTAATAAAATATGAAAGCAGTGGTGATTTCAATCTTTAACAAAGATCTTTTTTGTTTCAAAGTATAATATTAAGTTAAATTGTTTCGTGTGAATTAGGCGTGGGCAAAAGCAAAGTTGGAAAACTTTTTGAAAGGTTAAAAGGTGTGTTGTGTTGTGTCTGTAAATTTGCTTAACAGATAAACAACCGCACTATTGTTGTTAACAATATTAATTATCGTTATTTGAATTCAGACGCAGCAAAGTTTCTTCACGAACTCGAATAAAAATGTCGAGTTGTATAGAGAAAACTCTAATTAGACTTTTATGAAAAAAGTTATATTGCTATTAAAAAGGATGATTCTTGTTTTCGTGTTTCGTGATTTTTATTATTTTTGTTTTTCGAATTCATGTTCGCCTCTAAACGCTTTCCCACAGATGGACTGACAACGTAACTTTCTCTTGTTCGACGGTTTTCATTATTAGAAATTACCAACTAAGTAAGCTATTGTGGTTTGCACTGACAAAATTAATAATTAATTTTTTTGAATTAACGAGCATTATCTGTGCTTTTTTATTTTTAATGAAAGATTTAATTTTTAGCTTTGATTTAACATAAATAAACACGTGCTCTTTAATTTTCAATTTAATTACAATTTACTTAACATTATAAAGTTGCACTACCCCTCCATATCCAGTCTCTTTTCTTTTAAAAAATAAATAAAACTTATAAAGGCAATTTAACAAATATAAATTTACATAGAAACAACGAAGGTTAAACCGATTTGGTAAAACTCCGTTATATTTATTAATACTTACTACATCAGATTGTTTTATTATAAAAATATTGTATCCTTCAACAAGATTCTTCTATAAGCTCTAAAAGGCTAATTACTATTCAAACTAATTTATAATTTAACTACTTGCTTTGTACCGGACTGTTTAAACATACATATATGGAAAATAATAATCCCATTGAACATTGAATTTATACTTCCGTGCCTACATCTACAGGGTGTCCCAAGAGTCGCGCATAACCTTGAAGCTGTATACAGCTTCCATATATGGACTACAGCCCCGCATGTATCCAAAAAGATTGTTTA